ATATAGTGACACACTCGTCTAGATATGCAGCATTCAGATTACTCAGAACAATTATTTTTCTGGTTGCGTATGAGTTCAATTTCGAATGTAGAAAGTTTTTTTTTGCTTTAAGAAATATTAAACAATGAATATAGTAGTGTATTTTTCAGGCTATAGTCATTTAATTCTCTGATTCGAGTTTTTAATTCGAATTGAGATGTAACATTATGTTATAACTTTTTATTATAGTAAAAATGTTAAATGTGACTGTTTCTGAGAGCTTTTTACTATAACAAAACTTAAATTCTAAACTCAAACTGGTGAAATGAACCAGGCCAGTTTTACTCCTAATTATGTTTTCTTTAACTTTTCTTTTCTCAGACAACTGGCAGCAGCAATATGTCTTTGAGTGATTTGCCGAGCGATGTTCTTGGGAGGATACTAAAGTTGCCTATCAAAAGCTTAATCTCAATCATGGGGGTTTCCAAACAATGGAAGAACAGTCACGTATCAGCCGCCGAACCTATTGGAGTGTGGTGGATCGACTCTCGATCTTATAGAGAGTTTTGGCGGGAAGGAAACGAGTGCCTGTGCGAGATTGACTTGAGGAAGCTCGATGATAGGATAACTGAGGACAATCCCAGAATATGTGAATGTCTTGATGATGATGATGGCTTCAAATGCGGTCTTAGGTTCGCCTCCAGTTGTAAGGGCCTGCTTCTATACAGATATTGCAGATCATTTATTGTTCTAAGTCCCTTCAGGCAAGAAGTACTTATTACACCAGCGGTAGAGATTCCTTCTGACAAGGAGTGCAAGTACGAAATCTTTGGTGGCATTGGTGTAATCGACAAAACAATGAAGCTCGTTTGCGTTGCCATTCTCGGTCATGATGAAGCTACTATCCGGAATTCAGCCTGGGTTTATAGTATAGGAGAGGAGGACAATGAATGGAGAGGCATTCCTTGCCCAGACTTTTTCATACAAACCTTAATAAGACCAGTTTGTGACAAAGGAAGACATATATACTGGGTATCAAGCCATGCGCAGTTCCTTTCTTTTGATATTCTGGAGGAAAAGTTCACCATTATCAAGAATTCAATTCCTAGAGGCCATCTAGTCGACCTCGGAGGCCTTGCCGGAGTCGCCGATCTCGGCGAATGGTTTTCGCGTCTTCTAAATCTAAATGTGCTTACACGAGGAGACAACAAGATAAAGATTTTTAAAGGTGGAAGGCGCAATGACACTGGGGTTATAACAGAGTGGATGGAAGAATATACGGTAGATTTGGGAAGGCCGTTACGAATTGGCAGATTCCTAGAGGCCATCTAGTCGACCTCGGAGGCCTTGCCGGAGTCGCCGATCTCGGCGAATGGTTTTCGCGTCTTCTAAATCTAAATGTGCTTACACGAGGAGACAACAAGATAAAGATTTTTAAAGGTGGAAGGCGCAATGACACTGGGGTTATAACAGAGTGGATGGAAGAATATACGGTAGATTTGGGAAGGCCGTTACGAATTGGCAGCAGAAAGGTTTTAGGGGTCGATCAGCACAAAAACATTATAGTCCGAAATGGAGGCTTAATGTCATACAATCCTAGGAACGGCATACTTGAAGCTGTCAACTATCCGGAATGGGGCGTTGTAAAGGAGAACACGCTTATATGCAAAGGAGGCATGCTTCCGCTCTGCCCTAACGCCCACAGCTTCCGGTAAACTCGATCCTTTATTTTTATTTTTATTTTTAATTTGCATTAAATATTGTTATTAATTTTATTTTATTCATTTATTTTTTCAGGTTACCCGGTGTTCTCATACCATACCAATGATTACATTGCTAGATAAATGGATGTTACCAAATGGAATGTTCAGGAAAGATAAATACTAGATGTACCAGTTATAGGTTGTTTTTTAACTGGTAACTACTTGTAAAACGGCTCAAGATGTGTTTGAAATCATGGATTTGGAAACCAATGCCTACAAAATGACTCTAGTGACCTTTTTTTTTATTTTTTTTTTTTATAGATATAGATTTGCTTAATACGAAGTAGACACGTTTTTTTTTTTTTCCTTATTTTCCTTTCCTTTTTGTTATTTGTTTATCGCGCTAAGTTAGTTTTTCTTTTGAAGTGTACTATTTTCTTGGTTTTTTTTTTTTTTTTTTTTTTTGTTGATCAATACTATTTTCTTGGTTTTGAAAATTAGGTATATGGATTTTCACGGTTTCCTCTTAACGTTTACATTGAAACGGGCTCCTTCTTTAACACCATTAAAAGTGGCTTAGTTTGGTTGCACACATCGAAATACATTGTTGGTTATGTTGAGCTAGAAAAAATTTAGGCCTTATTCATTTCATGACTCAAGCCATATTGCTACGTCGAAATACTATTTTCTTGTCTAACATTTACATTGAAACAGGCTCCTTCTTTAACAGCATTAATTGTTCGATTTTCTCTCGCCTTTTTGCAAATATAAATCGACTCGCTTTTTGATGGATGGACGCATCAACATGCAAGAGTCTTTTATTTTTATTTTTATTTTTTGGTTTCTAGGTTAACAGCACGTAACTTTGTGGCGATTTCAAGCTTGATATTTTTATGGACGAAATCTCCCTCAATTAAATTGCTTTGAGCAAAGATTTTGGGAGTTGCAGTCCTTGCCGACTTGCCGTTGAACTTGGTTTAGCTACTGATGGAAAATGCTATGTGCCACACACAAACCAAGTTCAAAAGATTAAGCAGATGACATTTGATTGTGTGGTTGAAAAATCATAATTACCAGAGCAAGTTCTACTTCCAGAAACAGATTTAGCTTCGAATCAGCTTTCTTGTTAGAATGTTCTCTTATTTCACCAACCTACAATAATCAGTCTCGTAATAAACATAAGAGAACGAACTTCCCAACAATTGAGACAAAGTACAAAGCACCTCATGAAGAGCTCACATGTCACTGAAACAACTTGCATGACAGGTTAAAATAGTACATTGCGTATAGTATTAGTAAGATAAACGAATATTTTAAGGTTGCATTAAGCCTATAAACAATAATTCCAGACAGAAGTTAATTTTAAGACACAATCATTTTGCATGAACTGACTGCTTTCTACATATTCTGGAAAGAATCTCCAGATAAATGCGTCGAAGATCAAATGCAAACTCAAGTACAAGGAAAATCGGCTCGGATTTAGCGAACCTTCGTGCCTGTTTGGAATCCATTTCAAAAACGTTTTTCACGTTTTCCGATGAGAAAAAAATAAAAATGCTCTGAAGATTGCGTTTAGCACCGCATAGTATGAAAAACAAAAATGAAACGTTTTCTTCTTTCTCTCAAAATTTTAGAAATTCTAAACGATTTGTAATCGTTTTCCTTTTTCCATTTTCATTTTTTCCGGTCTTATATATTCCCATACTGCAATATGTGACATAAGGTGCAAGTGAGAGATGTAATGAAGATGCAAGATGAGCTCCACTCACCCATACAGCTTTGTATATCTCAAATTTTAAAAAAAAAAAAAAAATAGAGGATAAGTTATTAAGTTGATACAAAATGATAAATAAAGTCACATAATCATTTTGTTAATCATTATAAAGGAAAAACGTGTTTGAACAATGTTCTTTCTTCAAAATATCAGTTTATCCATTGTATATTTAAAAATGGTCTAAGAATAACCCTTTAGCCCGCTTTTCAGCGGCCAAATTCTCTAAATACCGAAACTAGTTAACTATCCTCAATAATCTTTTTTTTTTACATAAAAACCCCAAAACACGCATTGTGTTAGCCAAAATCACCACTTGTCCCTCTTGTTATGAAAAATGCCTAAAACATCTCTTGATTTTATAAAATCAATCACAAAATACACTCTAAGGAATAAATTTTTGAAAACAAAAAGACCGCCCTTCTCAATTTGTATCAAATACTATTTAAGATATTGGTGAATTAAGATATATATTAGATGACAAATTTTAAAACTAAAAAAACTCTCTGAAATACTTTTTTTAAAAAAAGATCCAAATTAGCTGTCTAATTTTTAGTGTCTTAATTAGTGTCTAACCAATTAAATCACACCATCCCATGATAAACACAAAAAAGTTAGTTAAAAAGTAATATAAATTTTTTACATGACGTAGAATGATTTGATTGGTTAGACACTAACTAAGACACTAAAATTAGACAGCAAATTTGAGTCATGGAGCTTATCCAAAGCCTTTTTCCTTTTTTCTATTTTGAGAGTTTTTCAAATTTTAATATTTTAGTTAATTAATACGTAAATGATATTTAATATAGATTGAAAAGGGTAATACTGTTATTTTGTGATTGATTTTAAAAACACTGTATTTGTATAATAATAAGTGCAAACTTAGTACACAATAGGTGTTTTGGGTATTTTTACTTACAAGTTATTAAGCGTAAATTGGGCATTCAAAATTTAACTAGTTGGAGTAAGGGATTATTTTTAAGTAGGTGATACTTTCGTTTCTTTTTTTAATTTTGACAAAACGATCTCCAATCTCGTAAAATATTTACAGTTAAGCCATTTCCATTTAAAAATGTTATTTTTCACACATTTAAACACGTGACTGTCATATGGGGTATTTTTGCGTCTATATCTATATATATATATATATATGTATATTCAGAGAAAGGAACAAAAAATTGTAACAGATTTGTATGAAAATTACACCCCACCATTTGAATGGTGAACTTTTAAACACTTGTTATTTTTAAATTATGTCGTAAACTTGAATCTTAATTTTTTTTTTTTTATAGATTAATAATACTATAATATTTATGAAATTTGACACTATTCATGGTTACTATTTACATAATATTTACTATTTACGATTACTATTTGCATAATAAGATTTTGATATATATAGTAATTATGACTGACTTGCATACTAATTTTAATTGAGGTGCATAATTACTATTCATAACAGAATGAAGGATTTTATCTAGCTGAAACCAAAGATTTAAAATCACCGGCACTCGCCAAATTAATGAAACCAGCAAATATGGTATTGAAATGAGCACATTTATTACCGAGTATAATATTTCAGGCCACAATTTACGACTGGAAGAGTAAGGTTCAATTCAAGCCACTGCGCTTAGACAAGGCTGAGTCAGGAGAACATTCAAAATCTTGGGGACTTTCCCAAGATATGATACGAAATGAAACTATCATGCATTAAAATCATAACTTGCAAGTCCGAACAATTTGAAAAGAGAGAGAGCAAGAGAGATCGAACTCATGCGTCTAGCAGTACAGCAATACCGAAACACACAATCCACGCAGCAACAGAGAAATCAAATGAGCAACTAGTTGAGATCAAATGTAAGGGATTCAGTTCAGCATTATCAATGATTGACCCTTACGTTTCCACCATGTTTATGTGTCCCCTCTAATGGATGAAATCCTCGAGCATCCTCCACCAAACTGCTATCCACCGTCGACGAAAAGCAATATGCACGATAGATAGCATAATCGCGGACTCGCATACTAGGACGATGCAGGAAGGAAATGATCTTACTCCAGCAGGGCAATGGGATAACTAAAAATGTTCTGAGAGTCACTTATACGAGCTCATGTTCTGAGCGTCTCACTTACACGAGCCCTGAAATTCAAAATACTTTGTGTGATGCGGTTGTGCCCAAGAAAGGCCTTGAGCTTGGCAATTCAACTAACATTTTGTAAATTGACTTTTCAAAAACTAATCAAATGAATTGACAAGGCACGGGGAAAAAAAGGTATAAAATCTCAAGAAGATCCTCGTAGAAATGGTAGAATTAACCGCACTTTACATTAGTAGAACGCCTCATATTGTCTACCTAATCTGAAGATTTTGTTAATACGTGGGATGGCCCTGAGAAAATGTGTCCTCTCTGGTACGGTATCCTGCTAACTGAGGCATCTTTGTGGATGAGAGGTTCAGAAGTCCGACTTACATGAGATACAATCCCCGGAGCTGCCTGTTTCTCTCTGACAGATGCCCAAGTGACGATGTAAAGACCGGCAATAATTAGAATTCCACCTACAACACTGTCCAAAAATCAAAAGCACCAAGTCAGACTCATTGCTCTTATTTCAAATGTGTCGGCTTTCGAAAATCCAAAACCGAACTAGAAAAATTTCACTTTTATTTTATTATTATTTTTAATTGAAGGATGATTCAGTTTATATAATATGGAGATAACCATGGTAACAGTGTGTCTTCTTTTACGACTTTTCTAAATAAAGAAACTTCTCTTGCTTTACATCCATGGTAAACAAATAGAAAAATATGACCCACAAGTAGTTGGAATGAAGTGATAGGAGCAAAACCTTCCCAAATAGACAGGGCTTCCGAGGAATATTGTTGACAATAAGGCAGAGGCAGCAGGTTGCAGTGGATTGTATAGAGCAACCAAAGCAGGTCCCAAGATCTTATTGCACCATGTCAGAAGTCCATAGTTAAACGCAGATGCAATGGTTCCCTGAAAATGGAGCCATACAGCAATTGTTTCATTTTAAACTTTCTTTTCCAAGTAATGAATACGAGACCATGAAATAACAACTTAAAGATTGGCATCTATAGATATATTCACTGCAGATCAGCTTATTTGAAATTGAAAATAGAATAAGTACAAGAGCCAAGGAAGTTTTATATGATTTTGTAATCCCAGGAATATTATAGAACTTCTAGTTAACTTGGAAGAAGACGAAGATCATAGCGAGCTAGAGAATCTTAAATGCAGCAGCAGAACAATTCTTATCATGTACCACAACTGATTCCTGGAACCTACCTACGAAGCATGAGTCTGCAATAAGAATCATTCAGCAAGACACTGGAAACGTGACCAGAAAATCACTTTAATTATCCAAAAATCTATCTCCCCCTAGCCAAACCAACCGCATTTATGTTTAGTTCACCCAAGTTCTGCTTCATCAATCCAGTAGCTCATAATTTTCTTTGAATCAGTATTACCGGGATTAAAAAAAATTAAAAATTAAAAAAAAGATAATAAATAATAAAAATTATGCTACAGTTTTTATATGCTCCAAGGGAAGGGAAAAAAAATCACAATCTTGTTTGTGTATTGTTCTGTTCTAACTAAAGAAAGCAAGTTTCCCTTATTTGCGTCTGGAAAAAGAAAAATTACCAAAATGCAAAAGCTAGTTCTGTGGAGAACAAAATGAACTTGCAACTGATCTGATTGCCAGGCTGCAACCCATCTTTGCAAAGCACTCAAAAACACTTGTATTGAATATATTAATATCTTCTGATATCCTTTATAGAGCAATGTTAGCCAAAAGGCAATTTGATAATCTTATTTCTTGCTGATGACCAACAAGAACTTCTCATATATGGACAGAACTATTACCACTCATTGTAGACATTAATACAACTAGCATCTGTGATTGGGTCACCTTAATGGTGGAAGGTTCAAAGTCAAATGCACAGCTCGTGTGAGTTTTGTATGAAGATATCCATTTTCTTCTTAAGTCAGAGAACAGTTCTCTAAATTAGAAGGAACAGTAACAGAGAAAACTAGCAAAATCTGGCGTGGAAAACAGAGGGTTCACAAAAATATACATTGCAAAAAAGGGAACTTACTGCATAAATGACAGCAAGAACCTCAGACTGTGTCAGCTTCCAGTCTGTTGATTCATTAGTCATGAAGAATGCTGTCACCACCACCAGCAAAGTACCAAAGAAGTACGAATATGCAATGACTGATATGTTTGCAGGATACTTTTTCAAAACCGGAGCCTGGATGTTTGAAGTATGGTAAGCTTAACATACAAAAAAGAATCGATATAACTTAATAGAATATAAAATAAAATCATAATCTCGAACGCTACACTTCCTAAGAATTGACTAACTCGGATATATCACAATATATATTAACTATGTAAATGTAGTCATAAGGTCTTTTAGATATTTCCACACAAAAAAAAGGAAGTGTATAAATGCATAAATTGAAGATCATTTAGAGGTGCATAACTGTATTTACATAGTTAATCTAACAAAAATGTCACAAACCTAAATGGCTCTCACTATGTATTTACCTATTAACTATGTAAATGTAGTCATAAGGTCTTTTAGATATTTCCACACAAAAAAAAGGAAGTGTATAAATGCATAAATTGAAGATCATTTAGAGGTGCATAACTGTATTTACATAGTTAATCTAACAAAAATGTCACAAACCTAAATGGCTCTCACTATCACGCCATTTCTTTCCAATTTCAATTATTCAACGTTACATGGTAATATACCTGAATCGCCAGGAATGCAGCCATGCACATACAGTTCCCAATTAGGCACAAAACTCCAAGGTGAAAATTGTCAAGCCCAATCTCCTGAAAGCCAGACATTAACCATCCAGCAGGTTCTGGTTGACCTCTGGCAATTATTTCACTCTGTGTTGCAAAGTCTGGCTCCACATTTCCAATCAAAGCCTTGCCACGATAGAAAACCATGAACATAGCACCAGAAACACATATAAGTGTCCCTCCAATCTTCGCCTGACCTTCAGTTTTGAGCAAGTTCACTCGTTCTGTACTGCATAAACAAGGTTTACAGATGATATTGGACAACAGGATAAGTGACATCCATAAAAACAGACAAAAAATTGTAATATACTCTTATCTTTAAATAACTAAACAAATGAATATCAGATAAATCAATACAGGTCAAAAGGATTGTCAAACCGACCCCATCAGCACTGCCAAGATAAATGTAAATACAGGAATAGTAGGTTGTATGGCAGCAGCATAAGTGGGATTTGTGTAGCCAAGGCCAATGAGAAATAAAAGCTGGTTTCCAAATATCCTGGTAGAATAAAAAGAAGAAAAATAAATTAATGCAATGAAGGGTCAAAAAGTGCTGCATCAGTTGAACCAACAGTGAGTGGATAAGTTATAGATATACCTGAGAGGACGGGAGACTTACCCTGTTAATCCAAGAAGGAAGAATGACAACAAGAAACGTTTATTCATCGGTGGTCGAATCCGTCTGCAAATAGGAGTAAAGAAATGAATCAAATGATGCATATATGACATTTTATGAATTGACAATAAAAAATTAAACAGAAACCTTGGAAGAATTTCCATCTGGGTGAACTATTAAAAAGCACGTAGTGAAATGAACAAGCACAACAATTCAAATTCTGGGATAAGCCACTTAATTCAGAAACAGTCATTGCCGTAAGGATGGGACCAATTCCACATATAGAGACCAAATTGTGTAATGACGAGAAAAACTGGAACTCCAGATATTTTCTACCGAGCTATTCCATAAACGATCCCGAAAGTATAAGTGGGACTACTGCAAAAAGTGGTCACAATTTTTTTTTTTTTTTTTTTTTTTTGAAGAAAAAACTTTATATTGATAAAATATGAAGCAATACAAAGGTGAGTAAACAAGAACTTGGTTTCTGTTTTCTTTTCTTTTGTTTTGTTCTAAATTTTAAAAGTAGTCACCAATTCATGCCAAAACAAAAATTAATTAGGTAATTAGACATCAAATAGGACTCTATGCAAACAGTTGATGTGCGCAAAAAATTTTGTACAAAAAAAGTACAACAAATTGATCCAGAACGTAAATCTCGACTCAAATTTTTCTAATCAAAATAAAAACAGATTCAAGATTAAAGTGTACGAATCCTTCACGTGCCAATAATATATGTTTATCCAATACAACATGATTACTTATCAATATCCAGTACAAGAATCAACAGACCAATGAACAAAAAGTCAACCAGATAAGAAAAACAAATCTGAGATCGGAATCTGAAGAAAATAAGAGAGAGATTACTGTTCTTTGAAGTACGCGATGGGTGCGAGAATGGAGAGGGCAAGGAGGTCACGAAAGACGCAGAAGACGAGCTGATTGACGCCAACGTTGAGGGCTACTTTGGTAATTACATGGTATCCGCCATTGAAGAGCTGCACTAATGCCATGGCAGCATGCGCCTTCCGCGCATCTACGCCGGCGCCACCCCCCGCCGGTACCGTCGCCGCCATCTTTCTCCCTCTAGAAAAGCTCACCGAAGAGAGAGATCACAGAGGAAAACAAAGAAGTAGAAGAAGAAGAAACGAGTTTGGTGATTCAGTGGTTGACAAGTCACGATTTTTGTTGAGGATTTATTTATGGAGTTTTCGTTTGCTTCGTCTTTAATTTTCTGTTCGTCTCTCTCTCTCTCTCTCTCTCTCTCTCTCTCTCTCTCTCTATTTCTTCCTCCCTCAGAGTCAGAAAGAATATTTGACCATGTAATGAAATCCTTGATCCTCAATGCCGCAAACAAAAACATTCCATAATTGATAAATACCCTTCCCAAAAAAAAAAAAAAAAAAAAAAAAAACATTTTAAAAGAATTAACGATTAATAGTAATAATAACGCTCTGATCCGTTTTCTACTTCTTTCTTTTCTCTCCTTTCCTTGGTTTTCGGAGATATTTTATTCTCACCTTTCATTAAATTCCATTTGGACTATTTTTGTTTTTTTGTTATGGTGATATTTCCATATACTTCAGACTTTAGATTTTTTTTTATTAATTGAAGATAAATAAATAGTAAATAAAAGACGGCATTGCAAATAATGAAAATTATTCCATCAGAAAAGGATAATGAAATTATCAACGTTTGTTACCAAAACATTGACTCTTTTATTTTCTCTCTTGTAGATTATAGATGATTTTTTTGCTTCTTTTTTTTTTTTTTTAAGGGAGATGTTTATTTCTTTTGCTTCCCTTCGATCTGTCATTATAATTAACTAACGAGATGCATCAGGATTGCAATTATTGAATTATGACAAAATAAATGCATTATTTCTCGATGGAAAGAATATATGAATAATGACGAAATAAATGCATTATTTCTTGATGGAAAAAATATATGCATTTATATGCTTCTCTTTTATATCTTTACTTGTTCAGTTGTTTGATTGTTCAAGCAAAAACAAAAAAGAAGAGATTTATAGGACGTTTGGAAGGGGGATTCAGGCCCTAATTCCAATCATGGTTCGTAACTCGCTACAGTATTTTTTTCACAAAAAAAATACACGTAAAACGAGAATAATATTTAATCGTGATTCTGAATCTATGAACCAAACGTCCTCCGAGACCAGGGAGTAGTTCTTGTCAATTAGAAGTATGATACTTTCAATCAAAATTCAGAACGTGCTAGGAAAAACAAGTACAAAATATGACGTACATAAATATATTTTTTTACGAAAAATCCTAAAATGCCAGTAGTGACAGATCCAGATTTTTAATTTAATGGGAGCATATATTAAGATAAAAACAGGGATTAAAATTTTAATAAATTTATATCATCTATATATTATTTGAATTTTATCGCAAATATTATAATTATATGTTTATATTTCAAAATACGAGTCGCTGTGAAAGATCTGTGAAGTTGACTTTTATTTTACTTAATTGGTCTTGCGTGATCATTTGTGTTCTAATTATTTGTTACAATTTTGAAGCCTATAAAATCTCAACAAACTAGTTCTTTTTTTCATGAAAATAGTAGAAATAAATGTATGGAAAGAAACTAAAATGGGAAAAAGAGAATCAGACCGCAACTAAGGTATTGAGAGAGAAAAAGGAAAAAAAAAAAAAAAAAAAAGTGATCTAATAATTAAGTGGGGGCACTTTCAAGTAAATTTATTTGAGTGGGGTGAAAAGTAACAAAGTTTAAGAAATGTACGGACTAAATTTAAAATTCAAAAACTTTGAGAGGGGGCACGTGCTCCCACTGGTCACATGCTAAATCCGTGCTGAATCCCAGATAAGTATTTATCCCCATCAAACACAATGAGTGGGTCGCACCAGGTGGGGGCTTGCTCTTTTTCTACAGCAGCTTCACATGCATATATATATATATATATATGTTATCGTTTGCTTCCAAAAGTACACTACAATGGAGAGACATGCAACACATCCAAAACACTTCTGGCAAAAAACTAAGGTTCAATACAAGGCAACTAAATCTGAGAAACAATCCAAAAGAAAAGCACGGGAGTTTTCAACGACAGAAAAGTGCCGCATCAGATACAAAAGAAAAGCATAACAAAAAGAGCAGAAACCGACCTACATGTGAGCTAACTTAAAATTGCCAATGGCTCACCTATGTCTTTTGACATTAGTTCACAGATAGTTCTCGTCGCTTGTAGCGCACCATCACCTTTCCTTTCACACCCACAACCATGGCATTCCAATCGACCTCAGGAAAAGGCGATACGAGTTCCAACTCAAAGTTCCTCAGCAAATGGCTCCATATTGCCTTAATTTGCAAATATGCAAATGGCTCACCAAGGCACCCATGTCTGCCACCTCCAAATGAGATATATGAGAAAGGCCCTGCTACCTTGTCCTCTTCTCTCCCAGCTGCAAATCTGTCGGGATCATACCTATCTGGATCCTTAAAAACGTGAGGAAGCCGGTTGGCGAAAGCTGGCGATGTCGCAACTATGTGGCCCTTTGGAATGTCATATTGCTTCCCATCTCGGGTTTGTACACTAAAATCACTATGCGAACTGCGTAGCAGCATAATCAATGGGGGATGGAGTCTTAGAGCTTCCTTGATGCTACGATACAAGACATCCATCTCAGCCAAGATATCATGATCCAACTTCTTCCCATGCTTTTCCATCAGTTTTTTCTGCTCCTCCAACGCAGCAGATAGGTACTCCTTGTGACGGAGAAGATACGCCCCAGTCCATGTTGAGGTGATAGAACTAGTGTGCTGCCCAGCAAAGAGAGCGGCAATCAGCAAGCCAGTGACCTCAGACTCGGTTGTTAAGCGGCCATCCTTGTACCTGGACTCAATAAAACACTGTAACATGTCATTCTCTGACTTGCCACTTTGCTTACGGGAAGCTATGATGTTTGCAAAGATTTCTGCTAGCTTCTTGCGTGCCTGATCGCGGCGGCGGTGAGCTGGGATGGGAAGGTATGGGAGGAGTACACTAATAGGAAGCATCCCATTGTCAAGGTCATGGAACAAGGCAGAAACATCAGCAAAGAGCTTGTCACGAACTTCTCGACCCAAAAGACATCTGCTGGCCGTCAGGATAATCAGATGCTCTAGCTCATACTTCAGGTCCACCTCACCGCTGTCACCCCAATTGGAGAAGTAATCCTGCCAAATGCCAGTGTGAATGTAATAATGTGAATTGTTAAAGTATAGCTTAGTCACATGAAAAGACAAATGACGTAGGTAAATTTGACGACTTAATGGTATCGAATGACGTAGGTAAATTTGACGACTTAATGGTACGATACGATTAATTCTAGTCAGCCTTAACAAGAAAATAACTTTACATTTTCAGCTTTTTCTCAAGTTTTTATATAATTTGTACTAAATGAGTTGCAATGCCTATTAAGGTTTGGGATGGAGAAACATATTTAAAAAAATATTAGTTGAAACGGCCTTTTTCTATCAATCACCGTTCCTAGCACAATTTACTAGGTTTAATCATTGCCATGTAGCAGAGCCCTTGGCTCAAAAAGTTATCTGATAATATGCAATGCCAAACAATGTAACATACACATAAAGTAATACGATGCCAAGAAAGACGACTCAATGACGTAGCTAACACTTAAAACAACTAAATATTAGAAAATATTCACTGCAAGTTCTCACCTCTGCTTCTGTAACCATCTGATCCACATAACCCTTAAGTTTATTGACTCTGAGAGCCTCTGTGAAGAAGCGGAACTGCTCCTGGCGAACTGAGTAATCGACGTCAAAGACGACTCCGGGTCCAAAAGTCGGCACATTGAACTGGTACACCTCCTGCTGGCTAAGATCAGACTCAGGGGCCTTGAAGAAGTGGGCCGAAACCTCATGGCCAATAAAAAAAGTTATCTTCTTGTGAAAAATGTTCACCGTGAACACGCTACCAAGCTTGGGATACTCTTCGCGGAGCATCAAAACTGGACCTTTTATGAAGCGGAAGAGTCCACCAAGGAGAGGCCAAGTCCTCACTACCGGAGGGAGCCGCTTCTTAGATTGCGGCATTATAAGCACAGATATGAGCTTGGCCACCACCAGAGTGGCCACTATGAGCAGGCCAGTATTCAAAAACTTGTTATCAACATCCATCATTAAGAGATTCTGATAGAATTATGAGGGACCCAACTGAAAATTTTCACCCAAACAGGAAAATCAGCTAAGCAAATCAATCACGTTTTGAATTTTTCATCAGAATCTAAGAATCAGAGAACCAAATCAATCACATTAGAAATTAACATAAATTCTGCCAATCACAACACACACAAAAAAAAAAATGAAGGAAAAAGGAAAAAAGAAAACAGAAAAGAAACCAACGACATTATAAATTACCATGAAATTCCAACAATTAGAAATCGCACTGAGAGCTAAAACAATTTATTCGCTATAAACTATTGCAAAACCACTGAAGATTAAGAAACACACATTTTCCCCCAAATCCAGTAAGCAAATTCACTAAAAATTCGTTTGATTGCTGTAGCAAAAGTAGGGGAAAACAATGCAAAAGGAAATAGTGAAGCCTTGAAAATCCAATTTTATTGAAAAAAAAAGTGTCGACAACAATCGAAAAGAGTTGAACAATACATTTAATGCATATAACCAGTGATGCAAGATCAAACAAAAATATTTCCCAAACTGAAGATTCAGATCAAATAGATGGATATAGCAATTATAGGATTAAGAAATTAGGGATCTTTGTACCTGATTAACGACTATAGTCCCAAAGTTTACATGAAAAATAAGAAAAATACAAACTATTGCAAAATCTATGAAAAATATATGAAAAAACGAAACATCTGTAAGAAAATCAGATATCCAAAAACCCATAGTTGGAGGAAAAAAATTAAGCGAACAATTTAGTAACTCAAACATATTTGCATACAAATCGGAAATTTAAACTTCAATCAAGTTCATATCTCCAATCTCTACTTTCTCAAGAATACAAACACATCTAGGGTAACACGGAATTTGGAGAGTGAAAATAGAGAGGAGACTGGAAAGAGAGAGGGAAAAAAAAAAGGAAGCAAAACAATGACCACCCATGGCAGAGAAAATGTAAGGATTGGATTCCACTTGTATATACTCATCAAAGTGGAAACAACAAAAAATTTGCATTTTTGCCAATGTTATTTTAATACTATAATCTCACATCCGTTAATTCGTTGATAGATAAGACAACATTGAAGAACAAAGAAATCTACAGAGTTGAGAAATTTCGACAATGTTAGAGATACCCAGAACCGATAAAGTAAAATACCATAAAACAAACAGAGATCTTGCCAATGATGGAGGATACTCGCGATGGAAAGCTCGGCGACGAGCGATGTTCACGATGGGAGGCCCGGAGTGGCAGATCTCTGCTTTCTGCTGGCGACTTTTCTTTCTCACACTCGTATAGCTCTCTTCTCTCTTTCTTTCCTTCGGGCCTCGGGGTCATTTTTTTTTTTTCTTAATTCCACAAATAGTACCTGAAATTTACGTTTAATTTCATTTTAGTCCCTAACTTTTCAAACGTTAGGTAAATAGTCTCTGCGTAAATTATAATTCAAAATTAGAAACAGTTAAAATTTTAAGGTTTCATTCATTTTACCGATTCGAGTTTTGTTACAGTAAAAAACTCTCAGAAACAGTCGCATCTAGTTTTTTTACTACAGTAAAAGACTCTCACATAAAATTATATTTTAACTCGAATCAGCGAACTAAACATACTTAAATTTATATGTGAAATTTTTAATTTTTTATATTTTTTAATTCTGACATCTCCATTACTAGAAGGACATTTAGGTATTTTCAATGTAACGTGATAGCAAATGAGTTCTATTGCCTATTTGTATGGGTACTCTAAGAGTCGTTTGCTTATATGGTTCAGATTTAAACTTGTGTTTATTTGTAAAAAATAAAAAAGGGTTTAAATTTTTTATATGACATTTAAATTCTCAAAATAAAGACTTAAATCTAAATCCTTCTTAGTTCTCAAGGTTTGAACCCAAGTTCAAACCCATCGTTCAAAATCTAATGGCTCGTTTAGTATATAAGTTTAAATCAGGATTCTTGATTATGACTTTTGAAATTTAAATTTTTTTTAGAGAAAAACATTGTAGCCAAACTAAAATTATAGTTTGTACTATAGCAGAACTAAAATGGTTCAAACTCAAGGTTCAAACCCATCTTGATTTGAACTCCTTTACCAAATAAATCTTTATTGGTTTCGATGGGTCTAAAATCCAACTATCCATAAAATATGAGTCCCGATTTAGTAGGTAAAACTTAACCTAGTAGGATCCACTATTTTGAGTGATAGACTTTTATCCTTGTAAGGATAAGTATCATTTTTGTGTCTGTATGAAAGGATAAAAAGGAAAGGAGACAAATATCTTCTTAGAGTGCATAAGTCTAAATTTTTATTTTTCACTTTTAATTAATATCTTTTTTGTCAAATAATTATCTATTAGTCAAAAAGATATTAATCAATAGTAAATAATATAAATAAAACTACGCTCTAACGAGCCTTCCTTCTCTAAAAGAATTATATCTCAAGTTCATCCAACCCAAAGAACTTCCTTCTAAAGAATTATATCTCGAGTTCATCCAAACGAAATATCTTCTTTCTCTAAAAGAATTATATATCAAGTTCATTCAAAGGAAATATCAAGTTTTAAACAATCTATTGCCGGGGTGCCCTTCTTTGGAGAAACTTCAGGCTTGTTATTTTGAAGTTTAACTTGAGTATAATTCTTGAGTTGAGTTTGAGTTATAACTTGAGTTGAACTTGTAACTTGAGTTTGTATTTGGTTGTGTAAATTTGAGTTATGGTTTGATATACGAATCTTTTTGAATTTGTGTTTGAGTGAATCAAAACTTGAATTTATATTTATATAGTATTTTAATAAAAACTCAATGCTGATGAAAAATTTTAATAGGGTATATGGGTCGGGTTTTATTCGTCTTTTTGTTGTCACGTATAGAAAAAAAATCATCTCAATCAGAATTAAAACGAAAAAGTTATAGCTTTTTTAAGAATAAAAAAAATATTATTCATTAATTTGAGTTTGAATTTCTAAACTCGAGTTCGAATTTCTCAAACTTGAGTTTAAACTCGAATTTAAACTTAAATTTAAATTTAAAAGAACATAAATTTAAATAAAATTATAATTTGAGTTATTTTTTTTAGTTTTATTATTAGAACAACAACCCTTCATGTACATCATTGTGATGGCTTGTTAAATCCAAAAGTTTCGAGTTTGCGCCTGAAATCGATGAAATTTATAACTAGTAATATACATCTGCGTTGTCAGACAATCGAAATTATTATTTCTTTCATAATTCAATGGCTCCAAATGTTAGTATAATAAAATTGTATATCAATATAATTATATATAAAATGTAATATAATATAATAAAATTATTATTATATAATATATTATATAATTATGATATAAAATATAATAATATTATTAAAATTGTTAATATAATTATAATATTTTATAATATATTATGAGATTATATAATAAACAATCATAATATTGCACGTGAGCTCTCATTTTCAAGATTAGACAAAAATACCCTCACATCTCACATGAAAAAAGGAAAAAATAAAAAATAAACTCAAATTATCATCCTTTTCTTTCTCAGATCTGTTGCCCATTCTCTCTCTTTCATTTTCTTCTAATCTTTTGCTCCCTCTACTAATCAAAAGCACAAAACAAAATCTTTCCTCAATTGAAACCCATTTTAATTTGGTATTCAAAACCCCCAAAATCCTCCTCAAACATCCCATTACCCACAGAAGACAATGGGATGAGATCCATTGTGCGACCAAAGAGATCGCACGACGTCGACGAGCGAGATCTGCAAATATGAAGAAGCACGACGATGGAGATTAAGAAGGCAGCGACGATTGTAGATCTGGAACAAGGGTCTCACCTCTTCATCGGTCCTTGCTCCAACCATCGCAATCCAGACCGTGGGTGAAGAAATTTTGTTGTTCGAGCGCCGTCTGGGCGAGGAAACTAGTGGTGGTCACCGCTCGAGCATGGCATGCCGGTGGCGCTGCTTCGAGATCCAAAGTTTTGCTCCGGCGACCGCTGCATCCATCGTGGACGGCATCCAGATGAACATGCTTCTTTCTTTTTGGTAAAATGCATGAACAAGTGTCTGGTTGCTGCCTTACTGAAGTTGTGGAAATTTTGTGAGATTGTTTAAGTTTGTCAGTTATTTTTGTTCTTTTGGGGGGACAACAAGCGAAAGTTTTTGGACTCTGTTTTTTTTTTTTTTTTTAAATCATATGTAAATCTTATATTATGAACACATTTTTGTTATTTTTGTAAGGATTATTTTCAAAAATATCTCTTAAAATATGTATTATGTTTTAAAATACTTTTTAATTTTTTAAAATAGTTTAAAATACTCTCGATATAGAAAATAAGTCAAAATATTCTTCCATCTATCCTAACGGATTGTTAACGTGACACTTATTCTAAAACATAAAATATCTTAAATTTAACTAGAAAATAATAATTAATAATTTAGAAAACTAAAGTTTTAGAAAAAATAATAGATTTGAAATCTCTTATCAAAACCCACTCAAACTTTGAGCAGCAAATTAGCCTCCACTCTAGTCCCTTTTCTAACGACATATGATTAAGTCGTTTGCTTTCATAGTCCAGTGCACTGACAAGATGTTGAACATAGACGAGAGGGATTCCATAAGACTTAGGCTTCGTTTGGTAGAATTAATAGAGAGTAAGAAAAATGAAGAGAATTAGAGGGTTAGGCTTCGTTTGGTAGAATTAATAGAGAGTAAGAAAAATGAAGAGAATTAGAGGGATGGAGAATAAAAAAAATAGATATGATTATAATAATTTTTCACGTTATTTAATATGAGTGATAAAGAGTTAAAATAATTGATGATAATTGTGTGTCTAATTATTATATTAGCCATTTTGTTTATTTAGTAATAATTTGTTTAGGGGAGAAATCGGTTCCGTTCATTTCGCTGATTCGAGTTTAGAATTTAAATTTTGTTACAGTAAAAAGCTATCAGAAACAGTCACATCTAACTTTTTACTACAATAAAAAACTCTCACACAACATCATATCTCAACTCAAATTAAAAATTCGAATTAGCGAACTGAACGGGCCTGTTCTCTCCCATCACTCCTCTCCTTCTTACTAAACGCACTCTTTTTCACGACACCATCCTTAGGGAGTTCAGATTTAGCCATTGATCACAGCGCAGAGCTCTAATGCTTCTGAGGAGTCGAGGGAGTGAATGAGGGAGGTAAAGTGATTTTTTTTTTCCTTTCACAGATTTGGTTTGTTTTTTCTTTTGTAGATATGGTTTGAGTTTTCTTTTAAAGATCTGGTTTTTTTTTTCATTCAAGATTTGGTTTTTTTTTTATTGTGCATTTCTAGATTTTGAGATGTTCAAATGAGATTAGGTTAGATTTTTTTTTGGGTTTTATTTAAAGATTGGATCTGTTGTTCTTATTGTTTTGAATCTGTTTGAGCCTATGTATTTTGGTCTGTATGAGAGGAGGGGAAGAAGAGGAGGTTTTTTTTTTTTTTTTTCTTTTGAGGTTTTTTCGTTTAAGCATAACTAGTTAATTTCATTTTACTAATTTAATTAGAATTTAATACTTTTAATTAATTTAAAATGAGTGTCACGACAATAAATCTATTAAAATTATAGACGGAAATGGATAAAAAAAGTATTTTAATCTATTTTTTATAAATTATAAGTATTTTGAACCATTTTAAAAAAGTAAAAGACATTTTGAAACGGGATATATACTTCCGAAGTATTTATGAAAATAAATTTTATTTTTATTATTGTATAAAATAGTTATTTTAGGTATGTTCATTTCGTTGATTTGAGTTTGTAATTTAAGTTGAGATGTGATTTTATGTGAGAGTTTTTTATTGTAGTAAAAAAATTAAATGTGATTGTTTCTGATAATTTTTTACTGTAGTAAAATTTAAATTCTAAACTCATATCGATGAAGTGAACGGAGTCTAAAATATTCATGAATTTCTAGTCACATGTAGTGCACATGAGGTGTTCTGTAAAAAGTGACGGAATATAATGGAAAGATCTTAATTGTCAAAGAATTTAAGGATTATTTTGTTAAAGTTAAAAAAAAAGGGGACTAAACTGTAAGTCAAGTACGATTGATGCCAATTAGCCGATGAATAAATAAAAAGCGCCAGACTGGTCGCCTTTTATTTTATTCATTTAAAATTTTCCCTACTGTCTGCTGGTTCTCACACTCTCTATTAGGAATGAGGAACTCCGACAAGGGTTTCTACGTAGTTGGCTTTTATTTGTGTTCCTTTCTGGTACCGGACGTTTCAAAGGTAAATTTCTTCCCATTTTTTTCTTTTCCTAGCCTTTGAGTTTTGTTTATACACCATGTTTTCCAATCGTGAATGGTGGGTTTCTTCATGGACATATTTCTGTACTTTCTGATCATCTTTTCGAAGAAAAATCAGCATAATGTTTGATTTGGATGTTCATTTCATTAGTTTACTCCATCATTACTCTTACCCTGATGCTCATTTTTTGTTTTCTGACAAGGCTTCAAAAAAAAAAAAATCTTGGTACTCCGTGAAAAGGGGTTATAAAATAGAAGAAAATGACCAAAAAGCTTTAGGCACGTTTAGAATTCATTTTAAAATAATTTTATTTTTTTATATAAAAATTAAAAATACGTGTGATAGTTTTATTAATTATTTTTAATGTAAAAAAATTCATTAATCACTTTTTCTTTCGATTCTCTTTATGTTTGAGAGTGGAGAAAATAAAAATAAAAATAAAAATAAAAATAAAAACGATTAAAAGTTATTTTTCATTTCTCTCTTATTTTACATTAAATTAAAAAATTATTTTTATTTCTGTTTTTTATTTTTATCGCGCCAAACGTCGTTTAGAAAACATTTTTATATTTTCTTTCTCAAAAAACGTAAAAACAAAAATAAAATCAATTCTAAACACGGCCTTTAAATCAAATTTCGCCAAGTAATTGGCTCTTTCTTAATATCCACAAATATAAGAATTATAAAATATTCCAACTCTTAGTGAAATGACAAAAAACTGGGTCATTCTCCTTAGGACTCTCACTAAGGGAGAGATCTAAAGTTGAACCCCGGGCTCCCCCAATCTAAAAGGGTGCTTAGCGTAAAAAAAAAGAAAAAAAAAAAAGATTATTCAGGCCTCCATGAACTTAATTAATTAGCAAGCAATTGATGAGTCCAGCTAGAGATTTAAAAATGGTTGTTTTAAATATCAGATACAACGAAATATATTAAGTTGGTATTCTTTTTTCCTTGTGACTTTAAACACCAGATGCCTTTGATCAATCTATATATTAAAAAACCGTGTTTCTTTTTAGTTACATACATTTGGTATTTAGTTTAGTTGTTCTTGGAGATTCTAAATTAAATTTTGCTTAGTTAACTGTTAGATTTCTTTTGCTGTCCCGTGTCAGTATGTTACAGATATTCCATGATTGAAATGATTGGGTATTGATTGTATCCCCTTAGTATTATGGCTACAAAAAGTAGGAAACGGGGCAAGGGAATGAAGCATGGTCCGGAACATGAGTCTGTGTTTCAGGATCGAATATCGGAGTTACCTGATGGTATCATCCTTCACATATTATCTTTGCTTCCCACGATAGATGCCGTACGGACGGGCCTCCTTTCCAAGCGATGGAGACGCATGTGGGCTTTAATTCCTGTGTTAGACTTCTGTGATTCAAGAGATATTGATGATTTCAGAAGGGATGATCATGATGAAACAAATATTGGGCAGAAGAAGTTCGATATGTTCGTCGATGAGTGTTTCGCACACACTTATGCAGGTGCTAGCATTTCTAAATTTAAGCTTGACGTTACATACTATGGATGTAGAAGACGATTAGATGGTTGGTTGAGATTTCCCATGAAGAAGAATGTTCAAGAGTTAGACCTCTCTGTTCAACCGGAAGGCAGGTCTGCACGTATTTCTCTATACTGCTTACCTAATTTTATACTTCATTTAGGGGCATTAACTCTTCTAAAGTTGAGTGGTGTAGTATTGGAGGCCCCTGTTCCTTCGAGCCTTCCTTCTCTAAAAGAGTTATATCTTGTGTTCGTCCGAATGACGGATCAAGTTTTAAACAATCTAGTGTTCGGCTGCCCCTCTCTTGAGAAGCTTCATGTACATTATTGTGATGGCTTGAGAAATCCAAAAGTTTCGAGTTTGAGCATGAAATCTATGGAATTTATTACTCGTGAGATGCATTATCGTTGTGAGACAATCAAAGTTGAAGCTATTAATCTTCATTCGTTTGAACATACAGGATCATTTTCCTGTAAGTTATATATGAATCTGGTTCACTGCAGGACAATTAGAAATCTCTCACTTATGGGAGCTTCTATAACTGACCAGTGGTTAGAAGATTTGATTCCTCAACTTCCCCTCCTTGAAAGTTTGAAATTAACTAATTGCTATAGCTTGCAAAACTTAAAGATCGGGAATCAACATCTAAAAGACTTTGCTTTGACTTGGCGCCATCCTCAATTGGGCTTGCTGGATACCACGATTGATGCCCCAAATTTAGTCTCCTTTAGCTACCATGGATTTTCGTTCTTCAAGATTTCAGTTAATGCGCCGAATCTGTTGGATGTCGCTATCAGAGTCCCTGACCGCTTTCGGAAGACTTATGATGCTGAGTGGCACACTAGTCTTATAAAATTTCTTTCAGAATTCAATGGCTCCAAGAATGTCAGTGTAGTTTGTTCCTATGAACAGGTATTCATCTGCATAAGCACGTCAATTTAGTGGTCTTTATTATTTGATCTTCGCTGACGATATTCTTTTTTACATGTTTCTGTTCTATGGAGGCTCTCATCATTCCAGATGAAGTGACAAATATGTATAGTTCTCCGTTGCCCGATCTCAAGTATATGAAGGTACGGATAGATGGTCAACTTTTCAGTAAGGCGATGCTCAGAAAATCTTTGCTCTGGATTGCACCTTCTAATTTGGAGACATTGCCAATAGGTTAACTGGTATTGTGTTTTAGTTTAATAGTTATTTTGGTTCTGTAAATGCAAGTTAAGCTTAGATTATGCCAACAAAAACTAGGACCTTTGTTATGTCTTTGTGGGAGTTTACTTTAGTTTTATGTTCTACTAATGTCAACCTCCTCTTTTCTTTTTTTTTAAGGTGGAGTAAACCTTTTTTTTACTGCAATGCTCTTTTTTATTTTTAGTATTTTGTTTACAATTTCGTGCGGTAGTCTGTAGATAACAATTAGCTTGGTTTTTTGTGAATGAGTTTTTGGTGAATGGTTTTTTCTTTTTGATTCTAACGATGTTGGATATCATAATAATACCATATGATTTTTTTTTTTTTTTTTTGCTGAAGTGAGTAAGCCATTAATTTGCTTTAAAAAAATTACTTGTCGCATCGGTTAATACTTTAAAAAAAAAAAAAAAAAAAAAGAAGAAACTTGGAATAGAATTTAGGGTTCCATTTATGGTAGAAAACCCATGTTGATCTCTACCAGTGGTTGATTGTCATGGTATGTTAAAATAAGAACAGAATGAAAAGGCAGATAAAATTGATAAAATTTAAATAAATATCCCGTTCATTTCACCGATTCGAATTTAAAATTTGAGTTTTGTTACAGTAAAAAGTTTTCAGAAACAGTTACATTTATTTTTTTTTATTACATAAAAAGTTTTCACATAAAATTAAATCTCAATTCGAATTAAAAATTTAAATTAACGAATTAAACGGGTTGAAAATTTAATTGTTTTAAAATTATGTAGTGACGGTAGAGTATTATTTGAACCCTATTAAAAAAAAACTCAAAGTTGAGTAAATCCATGTTGTGCATACTCTTGCTATGGATTATGGAGCAATAAGATGAAATCGATGGACCGATAGGGGACTGCCACCTAGGTTGGATTTAAGAGTTAGGATCATCATCAACGTTGAGTTAGGATCGTCGTCATTGTTGGATTGACTAGTTGAGATTAATATCAAGGACTCGGGGATCCAGTTAGAACTAACTTTTAGGTGCGTTTATAATTGGTTTTAAAATTATTTTATTTTTAATAAAAAAGTAAAAATGAGATTATTTTAAGAATTATTTTGAGACAATTCTAAAATTGTGTTTAGTTAGTTTTTTAAGAGATTGTTTTGAGTATAATAAAAATGTGAAATCATGTTTATTAATTAATATATTATAATATTATTGATAAGTACTAAAAAATGAAAACAGAAAAGTAAAAATAACTTTCAACTATTTTCTAATTCATTTACAAAAACTATTCTCACTGTTAGGGGTGAAAGTCGCTGGGTAGGGTCAGTTTTTGGGCTTGTTTTGGGCCGGCTTTCGATAATCAGCCTGAGAAAATGCTGGGTCGCAACAGTTAATTAATTTTAGAACCCGTATACTATTCGGTTACCTCGGGTAACCTCAGGTCGGCCGGATTACTTCGGGTAAACCAACTCCAAATTTTAAGTGTGATATTCTTCACGATGAGGGTTCACAAATATTCAGACAGATCTACTTGGTCTTCTAAATCCCAGATAACAACTTTACCATCCAATCCTGTGATGTTTAAGGTATAAGATCTATGAAAAAAAAACCCGAGTAATTTGGTTTCCTAACTAACATAAAGTGCTAAAGCGCTTGCCTGTAGATATCCCTGGCTGTCCAAGAGAAACAATACAACTGCAATAACCTAGAAAAACGGACATTCATTTGGTTTTGCCATAGTTTAACATGGATAAATATCAACCTAACAACACACAAATTTCAACTTCTTGAAGGAAAGATATTGAACCTCTCCAAACTTTGAATCCGAAGAAGGGCATGTTTTTGAATCCCTGACACATTTCAATTGAGAAACCACAATTAAGATATAACACGAACAACATTAAAGAAGAAAGGGGAAGAAAGATTTGAGAGAGGTAAAGGGGGCGGTGGGGTGCTCTGCTCGGAATGAGAAATGAGAAAGGTAGGTGATGTAGGGTTTTTTTTTTTAAAGTGCACATGGTTATTTTGGGCCAGGTAGGGTTAAGCGGTGTAATGGGCTTGGGCCCGCGACCCTATCCGCCCATTGCGGGTTGGGCTAATTTTAAACCCAAAAAAAACCTTATATTTTCGGGTAGGGTCGGGTAGTCGGGTTCGGGGTGATTTCTTTCACCCCTACTCACTGTTTTCATTTTCAAAACATTTGTTAAACAAACGTCGTTTCGTTTTCGTTTTTATTTTTATTTTTTACTTCTCGAAATACGTGAAAATTGTTTTTAAAAATAGTTCCAAACACACACTTTGTAATTAATCCAAAAAAGAAATACCATGTTGATTGTTGTGTTAAAAAAGTGGTTAAAAAATTTAAAAGAAAAAAGGTAAATGAGAAAATGGCTACACTTCAATGAGAAAATAAAAGGAAATCCTTTTTTATTATTTATTATTTTGACCTTCCAAACATTTTTTTTTTCATTTCTGAATTATACCTTCTAAACTGATGATCCAGGTTCCATGACTTGGTTGCGAAGTGTTTGGAACCATATTTATTTTTTAAGAGCTTAAATGAGTTAAAAATGGTTTTTAAATTTTCAAATAAGTAATAAAAATATTAGAATGAGGTTTATGATATCTTTTTTGATATGAGGCGGCCCACACGTTGATACCTCACTGCGAGACCCACCTTATATTAGTGAAAAGCACCACCAATGTCTAATAGCAATGCTCAAAGTTAATGGGCCAACATTTTAGAAATAGTTAAAGCTAGACCATTTGAGTGTAAATACATATTTACACTACCTGAAATTCTAAAAATACCCCTACTTAAATTTTAAACTTCCTCCTCCTAGAAAACCATAGCCCATTTAATTTCAAAAAAAAAAAAAAAAAAAATCGCCCATTCTCCCTCTCATTTCCCACCCCCTCTCTCTCTTCACACCGCATCCTACATTCTCTCTCACCGTCGAAAAAATACGCAACATCAGCATCGTCTTGAGAAGAAGATTGTCGAAGCTCGTGTCGTCGCGAGACTGTGGAGGCAGGAATGTCTCCCACGGTCGAGCATGAGAAGATCTTCGAGTTGCAGCTCAATGTCCGTTGCAACTTTCTGCGATTTCAATTTTCTCTCCCATTGAGCAATGACAGTGACAACACTAAGGTGATGCATATCTAGGGTTTCAATTTGAGGGCTGAAATATTAAAATTCATTAAAACAAATAAATAAATAATTTAATTGAGTGAAATTAAATCAGTAAAAAAAACTATTAAGGGCAAAAATGTAAAATCAATACTTTTAAAATTGAAAACGGCTTATTAATTTCTATTCATTGACAGATTTAGTTCCAATACTTTTTAAAATGGACTTATTTATTAAAAAATGATTTTGAATACGCTACCAAATCGACCCAAAATTACGCGAGTGTTTTTGTCAATTGGTGGCGTTTAATGGATATATGACGTTCAATGTATTGAGACATCAGACATGAGTTTAAATAAAAATTTTAAGCCACAAATAGCTTCTTCATTTTTCTCGGATGCTAAATTGGTAATTATCATGTCTTTATTAATGAGATGTTTGGTTCATAGATTAAAATCATGTGATTATAACTATTTTTGATTTACGTATATTTTTTATGAGAGAAAACACTATAGTGAACCATGAACCATGAACCATGATTCAAATCATGGTTTGAATCCTCCAACTAAACGTTCCCATGTGCCGTTTGATATTGTTTTTAAAGGTTACTTTTAATTATTTTTAATAAACTACAATAAGTTAGGGTGGTAAAACATGCTTTTGTTTAATAACTTTTAGAAACTGTTACCCCACTACGAAATGGCTCTATTTTTTTCACTGATTCGAGTTTAGAATTTGAGTTTTGCTACAGTAAAAAGCTCTCAGAAACAGTCACATCTAACTTTTTTGCTACAGTAAAAAGCTCTCACACAACATCACATCTCAACTCGAATTAAAAACTCGAATTAGCGAACCGAACGGGCCCGTAATATGTTACTGACCAAGTTTACTAAAATAAATGAAATAATAAAACTTAATTTCTAATCTACCCATTTTATTTTTTTCATATTAAATTAAACAGATATTTATTTTAAATATTTATTTGAAAAATAAAAATCTTTAATAAAAATCTTATGCTAAATTTTAATAATATATTTGTAATAAATATCAAAATGCTTAAAAAGGATGAATCAAAGCGTACCTACAGATTTCTAATGATTATCGAAATGCAAAAATGGTGAATCAAGGCGTATCTGCACTGCAGATTTCTTATAACCATCAAAATGCTATGGTGAATCAAAGCGTCTCTTCCACAAGTGTTTGAATGCGCTGTCAAAAATATTTGGACTTTTTAAAAAAGTTTTCCGTCAAAATTATAAACGTGATTTAAAAAAGAAAAACAGTTTAGAATAAATTTTGAAATTTGTACAAGAATTTTATTAAGGCATTATAAACTTTATGTCAACACTTATGTTGTTTATAATAAGATTTTAAAAAATATTTTGACTTATTAAACTCTTCATTTTAAATACTTACCGATAAATCATAATTTATAATGCCTCAATTTTTGCTATTCGGTTTTATAGCAATTTTGACAAAAAAAAATTTTTTTATTGCACGTACGTGCTTTTGGTATTCACAACAATTTAGAAAAAAAATTTACTAAAAGTCTACCTACTCCTGGTCACAACAACTTTTGACTAATAACACAATAATAATAAAATTTTTTAACAACGCAGCTATGGGTGAACATCATGTAAGTTGAGTGGCCTTTTTGAGTTTAGCCCACCTAATTAAAATTAAGTGGGTTCATTAAGTTGAACATAATAATAAAAAAAAACAAAGCTAATCATTCAACTAATAATAAGAAACATATGAGAAGAAAGTTAACTTTTATCATAATATTAGTCTCATAAAGCTCTAAAATTATCACATAACTTATAAATTACTATAAAAATAAAATATATGTAAAATAAGTTCATATACATAAGCCGTAAGCTAACAAATAAATAGTAATAAAAATTCCTACAACATAAAATATAATAAGTTGTCAAGTAATTAATATAAAATATAAGATAAATATCATACATTATGAGGGAAAAAATATTTATTTATATATATAAATTGATTAAGTGGGTTCAAGTTAAGTTGTGTTAATAAAAACTTAATCTAAACCCACTCAATTAATAGTCGAGTTAAGTGCGTTGAGTTGATCTCTTAGGAGTTGTTTGGTTGGGGGATTCGTACCCCGATTCGAATCATGATTCATGATTCGTTACAGTGTTTTCTCTCATAAAAAATATACGTAAATTGAAAATAATTTTAATCTATGAACTAAACATCTCCTTAATCAGATTGATAGAGTTCGGATTATAATGAGTTGGTTGACTAAGTTAATTGGGTTCGCCGGGTTGGTTTTGTTCATTTTAAGCACAATAATACTAAAGTGGCCTTAAATTTTAGAATATTTATGGAAAGCCTACCAATTTTTTAGAAAAATAATTAGAGGGGGAAAAAAATGGCTCGCCGGTTACCTTTTTGTTTGGGCACAGAAAAACCCGCCCACTACCCAGCAAATAACGGAAGAATGAAACTGATGTATAATGCTTCTTCTTTTCTGGTTCTCCCTCTTCCTTTCAGACTCTGCTAAAAGGCTCTCTCTTCTGTACTTGGCTTTCGTTTGTTTCTCTCTTTACCAGCACGTCTCAAAGGTAACTTTACTTTACTTTTTTTTTTTTTAAATTCTTTTCACTATATACATAGAACCTGATAATTCTTGGCGTTTGGGTTTTGATCGGATTTCGAATGGTGGGTTTCTTTATGGGACCATTTCCTTGCTTTCTGCTTAGATTTTAGAGGAGAAATCAGCGTGATAGTTGATTTTGATGTTCACTTTATTGGTTCAATCTATCATTTTCCATGGTTTAGATTTTAGAGGAAAAATCAGCGTGATAGTTGATTTTGATGTTCACTTTATTGGTTCAATCTATCATTTTCCATGGTTTTTTTTTTTAATTCTTGAAAAGGGGTTATGATGAATTAGAGAAAAATGACCCAAAAGCTTTAAAACAAACCTGGCCAAGTCATTGGTTCATCCTTTAAATCCACAAATAAAAGAATCAGAAAAGCCCTAAAATCCCAAATATTAATAAAATAACATAAATCAAGCATAAGTATCTCATATCTCGAACACCCAAAACTCCAAATTTAGATCAGCACTAAAAAATATCAATAATCACGAACTTGGGTTTTGTAGATTGAACTATTACTGTAAGAAATATTGTTTGTTTGTGATATGAAATATATCAGATGCAACAAAATGAGCATCAACACCATTCTTGCTTAGTATAAACTATAAGCATAAATTAGCTTTAAATTTTTGGAATGGGAGTCTTTGAATTAGTTATTTATGTTTTCTCTGCTTTTACCTAAATACATTTTTGAAATTCAATTTCTTTTACTTAACTGTTTGATCTCTTTTGTGCTGTGTCATTTTGTTATCCAGATATTAGGGGACTGAAGATATTGGGTATTAACTATATTCCCCTTATTTGTATGGCTACAAAGAGAGTCAAACATGATGATGGAATGAAGCAAGATCAGGAACCTGATACCACATTTGAGGATCGAATATCGGACTTACCTGATGCTATCATTCTTCACATATTATCTTTTCTTCCCACCTTATATGCCGTTCGGATGAGCCTTCTTTCCAAGCGATGGAGACGCATGTGGACTTTGGTTCCTGTGTTAGACTTTTGTGATTCAAGGGATACTCACGATTTCAGAAGAGTTGACGAAAGAAGTACTGGACGGAAAAAATTCTATAAGTTCGTAAATGAGTGTTTGAAACACCCATATGCAGATACAACCATTTCTAAATTTAAGCTCAGAATGGAATACTATGGAGGCAGTAGCCAAATGAATGGTTGGCTGAAATTTCCCGTTAAAAAGAATGTTCAGGAGTTAGACCTCCATTTTCAATCTGCAGGATACTGCTTACCTTATAGCATATATCATTTGAGAGCGTTAACTGTTCTAAAGTTGAATGGTTTAGCATTGTTCAGTTTTTCTCCTTCAAGTCTTCCTTCGCTGAAAGAGTTGTATCTCACAAATAACCGACTGGACGATCGATTACTGAACTTTCTTTTCTTGGGCTGCCCTTCTCTCGAGATACTTCATGTAAATTATTGTTACGGCTTGTTAAATCCAAAAGTTACAAGTTTGAGCCTGAAATCAATGGAATTTAGGACCGATTGTCAGACAATTGAAGTTGAAGCTATTAATCTCCATTCTTTTGTATATAGTCAAGGTGGAGGCCGCAATATAAATTTGGCTCGGTGTAGGACAATTAGAAATCTCTCGATTTGCAACGCTTGTTTGACTGACCAATGGTTAGAAGATTTGATTCCTCAACTTCCCCTGCTGGAGAGCTTGAAATTAAAGGATTGCCTTGGCTTGCAACACATCAAGATCTGGAATCAACGTTTAAAAGTCTTTGATCTCTCTTTTGATCGTCGATTGGACTCACTTGAGGCTACAATTGATACCCCAAATTTAGTTTCCTTTAGCTACAGTGGGTGTTCAATGTTTAAAATTTCAGTTAAGGCACCGAATCTTTCGGATGCCTATATCAAAGTTCCTGACTACCCTAGGAAGGCTTATGATGTCGAATGGTATGCCAGTCTAATAAAGTTCCTTTCGGAATTCAATGTCTCCAAAAACGTTCGTGTGTTTTTCTCCAATGAAAAGGTATTTACCTGCATATGCATGTCAATTTAGTTGCTTTTACACTGTCCTTAGCATTTGATTGACTGGTTGTTTATTCCAAGTAATGTATGATCCTCACTGATGATATTCTTTTCTGTGCTTTGTTTTGATAATAAATATGTGGAGGCTCTCATCATTCCAGATGAAGTGAAAACGATATACGGTTCTCCGTTGCCCGATCTCAAGCATATGAAGGTGCGGACGGGTGGTCGACTGTTTAGGAAGGTGATGCTCAGAAAATCTTTGCTTTGGATTGCACCTTGTTTGAAGACATTGCCATTTGGATAATAGATCTCTACTTTTAGTGCATGATATCTGTAACTTAAGCTTAGATTATGCCATGAAAAACTAGGACCTTTGTTATGCCTTTGTGGAAGTTGACTGCAGATTTCTGTTCTACTAATGTAAAAACCTCTGGGTGTGTTTGGAATTGGTTCCAAAACGTTTTTATTTTTTGTATGAAAATGAAAACGAAAACGTTTTTATTTTTATTTTGGAATCATTTCTGAAAATGCGTTTAGTAGTTTTATTTTGAGATTGTTTCCAGTTAAAAAAAAAAAAAACTGAAATTGTGTTTGGTGGTTTAATTTTTAAAAACATGTAATAATATTTAAATTAATAATATATTAAATAAATAATATAGACAGTGGCGGGCCAGTCGGAGAGGAGCGTAGATGGTGGGCTTTCGCCGGATGTCTTAGGCCTGCGTCTTCTTCGGTCGACGATGAGGCTGACTTCCACGAGAGAGAAAATGAAGGGAGAAAATGAAAAGGAAAATAAAAAACAGATTTAATCCGTTTTCAGAATTTCACAAAACGACAAAAACGGTTTTGCTTTTGTTTTTTTAAAAAAACTTACACCAAACGCGTTTTTAATTTTTTGCTTTGAAAAACGTAAAAAATATGATTGAAAACGGAAATAAACAGGGCCTCTATTTTTCCTTTTTACTTTTTCTGGGAAGTAAACCTCTTTCTACTTCAATGCTTTTTTAATAATTGTCATTTTGATCTTTTCCTTCCGTTTTTCAATTGCCTTGCGGAAAATTACACAACAGACTCGGTTTTCATTTGGCCTTTACTTTTTTAATAATAAACCATTTTCTACTTTTTAATTATAAGCAGAAATGGAATCAGTCCTTTTAATATGAATACTTGCAGAAGTCAAAGAAATTGGCCACAAAGCATCCAAAAAATAAAAATAAAATAAAAAAAGAAGAAGAAGAAGTTCCATGTTGCATAACAACATAAGGGAGGACGAGAATGTAGATTCAAGATTGGAATGGACTGGGCTTGTTGTTGGTACAATTTAGAGCCATGGCCCATTTGCTATTGTTCAATATCAGATATCATATGATATATGTTATTTTTTTTTTTTTTTTTGAAAGATAGTTAATAAATGATAAGTTAATTATTAGAAAGAAAAGAAAAAAAACGATTTACTTTATCACATCTGTTAAAATTAAAAAAAAAAAAGCGGTAGAGTATTTTTTAATGTAGTGAAATAACGGTAGAGTATTTTTTTTTTCCTTATTTGATAGAAATTTTCTACTTATTAATGATAACTAAAAATTGAGTTGATCCATTCGTACATAATTAAGAAAATAATAGTCCCGTAGTTAATCAATTTTTTTAGGATCTCATAAATTTATTTTTTTTCATTAAAAGCAACTCCTATATGCCTCAACAATGCCTATGCCCTACGCGGGATTTTGCCAACTCATGCCGCGGCTGCTTAGAAAAATAAATTCAAATTGATAAGACGTATTAAATTATTAATACACAATTAGCCATGCATATTATAATCCCTAAAAACCCAAAAAGTATACTTTGATTTAAATTATTTACTCAACTTTGTCGTATACACCTCATCCATCCACTAATGCGCACATCCTCATAAATAATGGTTTTTTTTTTTTCATGGTCCAATCATTGTTATATTTATATGCAACATATTATTAGGAGCATTTCAAAAAAAAAAAAAAAGTTATTAGGAGGAATTCTCATTCTCAAATCTAATTAATTAATTAATTAATTACTGTTTTGAGAAACTTCATGGAAATGGTTCATCAAGTGGCTATTCTCTAATTTCTGGGGGAAAAAAATAAATCTCTCACTTGTGAACAGGAAAAAATATTTAATTTGTTTATATGTATATGTGTGTGTTTACTACTGGTAATTTTTTCAAAAAAAAAAAAATAGTACGTATCATGAAAAATAGTTTCATGACACATGATAAAATTAATCTTGAAATGTTATGCTAATAGTTTGAGTCAAAACATTAATTTTATTTTTATAAAACTCAGAAGTTTGGCACTTTGAAGGGGACATGAAAAAAGGGACAGATGAGCTCAATTCTTAAACTAAGGGAATCAACTCTTGTGTTTTTTTATTTATGTCTCATTTTATATTCTTATAGTAATATTATGATACGTCAATTAAAATGTCACATTAAATAAAAATTATTATCACATCAATTAAAAAATCATAATGTAATATATTATTATTAAAAGGACACGAAAGGAGATACAAAAAAAAGGGTCATATGAGCTCAAGCTCTAAAGTGGGGTGGCAATTCGTGTCACGTGTCGTGTTTTGATCGTTTCTTTTTAAATTTATAGTCACCCGAACACGACATGTGACATGAAATTGACCCGTGAACCCGAAATTGACATGAAAATTGTATACTTTTATTTAGTTTTTTACATATTAAAATAACTTAAAATTCATAACACACTAAAATACAATAACATCCATTGAAATTAAGCAAATAATACTATAAGATTTTGAGTATAACTATCATGATATCATAAGTTCATAATAAAATCAAATATATGTAATGAAAAATATATGTATTTTTTAGTTTTTTACGAGTTTCGTATCGTGTTCGGGTTAGGCGGGTGTAACCCGAATTGACTTGTGTTTTTCGTGTCAATTTCAGGTCGACCCAATTCTGACCCAACCTATTTTTTCTCAACCTTAACCTGCAAAATTCGTGTCGTTTTCAAGTCGTTACCCATATTGTCGGCCCCATTCTAAACTAAGCAGACATTGTGAGTTAAAGCTTTTGGAATATTCAATGGCTTCTAATGGCATTCTTAACTAGAAATTTAACATCATGGAGAAGAATTCTTTGTATATTGACATGTCTAATGCGATACCTTTAATCACGGAGATAAAGACAAAATAAAAATCGGAAAACATATAAAATGCCAAAACAAGAGTGTAATAAAATTAGAATTATTAATGGAAATTCATGACCATAAAAGTCCAATGAAAATCCCTTTTCGAAAATTACCTGTCGTAGAGTAGAGACCAGAGAAGTGCATAAACCGGCACTAGGCGGCACAGATTAGTGGAACTTTTATGGAAACCACGTTTAGATACATATTGCAATCAAATCCGGACTTTGTTCACAAAAGTACATAAATTGTATTTGATAAATTAATAATAAAATCCTTCATGTTTAAAGCTTACGTAACCTCGTCTTCTACGTACAAAAATATAATATTGTTAAAACTTTTCAAATATCCTTTCCTTCTATAACACTAATAAAAAAAGAGAATATATAGGCGCGTTTGAAACTTATTTAAAAATAATTTTATTTTTTATATGAAAAGAAAAATAAAAACGTTTTCAATTTCAGATAAAAATTATTTTTAAAAATGTGTTTTGATAGTTTTATTAAGAGATTGTTTTCAGTGTAAAAAAAACTTATTAATGTCTCTCTTTCTTTCTCTGCTCGAGAAAGAGAAAACGAAAATAAAAAATGAAAAATGACTTTTAATCGTTTTTCATTTCTCTCTCATTTTACATTAAACTAAAAAATCATTTTTATTTCCGTTTTTATCTTTATTTCGTCAAACGCCATTTTGAAAATGTTTTCATCTTTTCTTTTTCGAAAAACATGAAAAATAAAAACGAGATCAATTCCAAACACGCCCTATATTTCAAATTTACTATATCCTCCGATCCATTCACTATTCAAATTTCAAGCTGCTTTTGCTAATGTTCAACGTAAAGGACTGAAAATACAAAGATATGATTTATTTTGTTTATTTACTCTTTTTATATAGACCTGCTAAAAAAATGTAAAAATACTTGTAAAGAGTGAGTTCTAGTACAATCAATTTATAATATTAAGGGCCAATAGTTCAATCTATTGTTGGAGTTGCTAGTTGATAGCCTCGACTCGTTGTGATATACGAACGAAAAAGTAAAGTGAAAGAAAATAGCAAAAACTAAAGACATGCATTAATAGTGATCATCTCCGATTTAAAAGTTACATTTATTGTACAATCTGGGGTGTTTCACTAAAGTATAGAAATAAGTACGAGTAGACGTAAGAATAATGTCTTGTTCATTTTACCAATTTAAATTTAAAATTCGAGTTTTGTTATAGTAAAAAATTTTCAGAAACAGTCACATTTAATTTTTTTATTACAGTAAAAAACTCTCACATAAAGTCACATATCAATTCAAATTAAAAACTAAAATCAATGAACTAAACGAACCTTAAGTATAAGACGGTGTCCCATTCCTGCAAACAATCCCTTATTGTATAGGGATCAATTGATCTACCTTCCCATGTTTCCTAATTTTGTGATGAGTTGGCCATCAATTAGAAAGCAAAGTTAATTCAAAGCCTTAAGACGATCGAAATTGACACGTGTATGGTGAGAGATGATGTATGAAACTTGACCTTAACAGTTTTAATACAGAAACTAAAAATATATTAGTTTGTTCATTATTTTTTTTTGTTAAAGAAAAAGAATTATATAGATAAAGGAAAGACAATGCACTTCAAGACAAATCTTTTATGAAGTGAATTGCTCATATATCCTGTTTATTACGATGGATTGAGATTTACTCAAACCCAAAACTTTATTGAGCAGGATAATCAACCTCACAACCCCATCAAATGACCCACGGTAATTTGTTAGATTACTCGGGATCCACATCATTACTGCTCTCAAACTTTGTAACTTTCTAGTAAGTAAACGTTTAAAAATGCCCCATTGAAGTCCAAAAATATAAACTTAACTCTGCTAGCTTAATTTTACAAACAGATTCGTTACAATATGTCTCCAATTTATTCTGTTGTTAGTAAAATTGAAATTTTTTTTTCTGTATGGACTGAAAAAAAAATCAATCAAAGAGAGTTTTTGAAGAACAAAACTGTCAGTATGACAAATATATAACTACCCGTATTTGAGAAAAGTGGCTCCACAATAAATCATGCCTGAAATCTATCAACCAAAGAGTCCGGGATTGAAGTACCCGACCAAACGCGTTTACTTCGCGATGTTCCTCAGCACTACAAATTTTGCGACAATTATTTATTATTATTATTATTAATATCCTCAACTTCTATAAAGAAAGAAAGAAAAACTTTTAGATACAAACAAAGAAGACGAGGAAAAACAATCCCACAAAAACCCCCCCACCATATGTCTCTTTCTTCTTCTTCTTTTTTTCAACAAAAGCAAACTGGTAAAGCCAATCCTTCTCTTTCTCGTTCTCTCTCTTATGCTGTATTTTTTGTTCATACCCAGATTCTGTTTTTCCCTTTTCTTTCTTAATTTGTCCTTGTTTTGCTCATCCGGATTCTGGTTGAATTGATCAAGCTTGGTCAGCTTTGATTTGGGCTGATTTGTATTTTTTTGAATTTTTTTTTGTCTGGACTTTTTGTTTCTTCTTCTTTTGGCCGGAATTTGTTGACTTTTTCTTTCATTTCTAGTGACTGGTTCTGGGATCCAAAAATATTCCAAAAATATTAGAGGGTTGTTCTTCGTATTTGATATTGTACTAGTTGTAGATTCAATCATTAATCAACTATAGAGGCCTTGATCTTTTCTGGGTTTTCTCCATTTGGTCATCTTCTCTTGAATTACTTTCTATTTTAAGACTAATTTATGCAGACAAGTCCTGAATTTTCACATGTTATGCGTGTACTTCTTTCTTCTAAGCTTTGGAAATAATTATTTCCTTTTTTTTCTTGTAGCAGTTATAATTCAAGGTTTGCTTTTAGAATTTTTATGTGGAAAGGAGGGGGTTTGACTTCAACATGCCGAAGATTGGATCTAATGTGTTGTGTCAAGGGATTGAATTGTATTAGATCTTGGTGTTGAGAGTAGTAGACGTGTTTAAGAACGAACTAAGAGTGGGATTTTATGGGGAATACTTGTGTTGGTCCGAACATCGCCAAGAATGGATTTTTCCAATCGGTTTCAGCTGCAATGTGGCGGTCTCGATCCCCGGACGACACGGTTTCTGAACCTACTAATGGAGAAAGTGTCCATGATACGGCATCTAAGGAACCCGAATCACCTTTGCCAGTTCAAAACAAACCACCAGAACAAGTGACCATTCCGAAAACGGAAACTGCAAAGGATGAATCCCCCAAAACCAAGAAGCCTCCTTATATGAAGAGGGTACCAAGTGCAGGACTCCGAGCTGGTTCGGTGTTGCAAACAAAGACCGGAAATTTTAAGGAGTTTTACAGTTTGGGAAGGAAACTTGGCCAAGGACAATTTGGGGTGACATTTTTGTGTGTGGAGAAGGCAACAGGGAAAGA